CATGATATCGCAAGGACCGCCCCTGTGCATGGGCATGCAACTTCAACTGGTACCATGCCGAGAACATCGAGACCACGTTCCAGTCCAGCTGACACCTACGAATCCCGTTGCGACAACACGTACGACAGCAGCAGCTGACAACGAAGTGGGGCTGAGACGGGCTCGTTCGAGCAGTGCGTAGAGGACACCACCGCAACAACTGCATTCATGATTTCGAGAGCGCCATCGAGCAGTGCGAACCCGAGGGGAAGGGCATCTGCGCCCTGTTCCAGGACATTAACCAGACGATCATCACCCCAGCCCAAGAATACTACGGACCGCAATCGGCGACTCAAACAAAGTAGAGCGTGCTGAGGACCACCCGCATGGCGCTACTCCGACAACGACGCGATGGCCGCGAATAACTGCGCAGACGGAGCGCCAGTTTCACGATCACGCTAGGCCTGAGCAACCCTGAGGCAGCGCAGGTCTCCTACGACACCAACACAAGAGAGGCGAATGGCCAGAACGTTCCTTCGCCACACCCGACCCAGGACCCAGGAGCCTGGCCTGTGCCCATCGCTGAGACCTCCGAGAGCCCAGCTCCATGCACCGGGAGGCCCCCTTCCGAGTCTCGCGAGACTGCGAGAACACCTTTCGCACTTGCGATGCCTCCTCCACGCTGGGCGTCGGGCCGGCACCGATGGTTTGTCGCATCATTATTGCGACCCGCGACGAAAGTTTCCAAGCGGCCCCCTTGCATGCGAATGCTTGCTCGCAGTTTGTGGGCTCGTTTGTCGTAGTTAATCGTGAAGCTGGTTTGGGCGCGCGATGATGGCGCATGATATGGCTGCGGAGCACCCCCTGGCTTGCTAAAAGTAGCCCGCGCCCCCGCCCTCCATGCGCTCGCATTTCCAGGGTTGCAGTTGAATTGAGGCTGGTTTTCCCGCAGTTCCTCGCGCTGGCCTACTCCTGGAGGGGGGCCGCAACAGTTAGCTTAGCTGTTCTAACTTTTCAAATGTCCAATATGCAAATTGTATTCGAACGTGAGTGCGAGCATTTTCCCGATCGAGGCGTCGCCCCCGAAGACATTGAACAAACTCTCCGAAACCCTGGTTCGCCCTTATGGACCCAGGTAGGAAGAACAGCAAAGCGGTCCTCAAAGGGAAGCATCCTAACAGACCTCTCAAATTGGGTCTCTGGAGGACTCCTTCTGGGGCGGCGAGAGCTTGGATGTGGGGTCTTGGGCACGTTTCAAAGGGCCCAGAAGAGAGACGTAAAGAAAGGGCCGTGGAGTGGCCCGCTTGAATTCGTATGTCTGGCAGACTGTCTCCGTGCGTTCGGGCTGAATGAGCTCGAGGCGCACCGTCTTGGAGAGACGAGTGAGCGCTCTAAAGATCAGGGTCTCGCTGAAGATTCAGATGGCTGAATTTCCTCCTGGGGGGCCCTGTCGGGGTCACGGGCAGGTTTTTGGCCTTCCTGCTTGTGGCTTACAAAAAGCCGTTTTGATGGACCCCCCTGGGGAGAGCTGTTTGTTCAGTCATGGACTTTCTTCCCCCCTTTCCCCTCAGTGGCGTGCGATCCTCCTCTTCGGTCCTCCTCCTCTTCCTCCTCCTCCTCCTCGGTCCTCCTCGCTTCTCATCCTCGCTTTTCCCCACCTCCTCCTCCTCTTCCTCCGCTTCCTCCTCCTCCTCCCCCTCCTCCTCCTCCTAATAAAGACCTTTTGGGGCCAGTGGGCAGCTCCCCGTCCCGTCCTGTCCACCTATTCCCCCCTTCTCCCCATCCCCTTTCCATCCCTCTTCCTTTATGCAGCCAGACCGAGGTATAAGATCCAGGGCTGTTCGGGGAGGGTACCCGAATGTTCTTCGTGTTTGTTGGGTGTTCTTGTGCATCCTGGGGAGGGTACCCTTGGATGTTTTGCGTGGTCTGGTTAGTGGAGTGTCTCATGTTCTGGAAAGATGTTGTTCTGCTCTAGGTCCGACCGTTAGTCGTTCCTCCCTGTCGCACCCCGAGACGTGTCGGTAGGGCGGGCCGAGCGCTTCGCCAGAGACATCCTCACTAGGTGTCATCCTACAGCTTTGGATTTGCAGCAGCTTCAGGGATGGATGGCGGGTGGTCTCAACATGTGGCTCTCGCCTGGGCGCCGCGCGCATTCGTCTTAAAAGTTTGCAGGAGCTTCACGGATGACGGCCTGTTCTTTTCCGAAATGTCGTTATCGCCTGAGCGCCGCGTGCATTACATAGTTGCAAGAGTTATCCGTTTGGAGCCGCGGATCGTTTTCAACATGCGGCTCTCGCTTTAGCGCCGCACGCTTTCGTCTTAAACAATTGCAGGAGCTTCGCGGATGGACGGTGGTTGCCGTCAAATTGTTGTTTTCGCCGCAGCGCCGCGCACATTCGCCTTCAAACATTGCAGTATGTTCACTGATGGACGGCGGCTCTTGTTCCGAATTGTTTCTCGCTTCCGAGCCGCGCGCATGCGTCGTAAAAGTTTGCAGTAGTTTCATAGGATGGAGGATGGAGGGCGGTTGGTTTTCAAAATGTGATTATCGCCCTAGTGCCGCGAACACTCGTTGTATGAGCTTGCAGGAGCTTTCTGGTTGGAGGGCGGCTGGTTTTGAACATGTAGTTTGTATATCATGCTAACCGATTATTACTGTTGATGCCCCAGGAAAATGGAAGCTTGGCGCGATGTAGGATTGTCAGGGCGCAGCAGTCACGTTTACCCGCGGTGTTGAACTCCCAGGAATGATGTTCTGGCACGGTTCAGGGTCATAGCGACGCAACAGCAAGATTGATTCGCGGCGTTGAAGTCCAGGGAGTGGTGTTTTGGCACGGTGTTTTCCAACGGGGCGTTTCCAGCAGTGAACATATGTTCTTCACGTTTCGCATCCCCACCAGCCCATTTGGAACCCCGGCCCATGAGAGTTGAGGGTAGAAGGGGCGAAGAGACACATGTAGTTAATTAAGCGGGTAACCAGGGTGAACCGATAGATGTTTGGGAGCAATGGGGTGACTTTGCAGGGCCTCTTCGGGCCCGCGTGGGGGCGATGGCAGGAGGAGGAGGAAGACGACGACGACGACCACCACCACCACCACCACGATGACGAGGAAGAGGAGGAACAAAACGTGAAGACGAGGAGGGCAAGGGCGAGGACGAGGACGAAAAGGAGGAGGAGGACAACGAGGGCGAGGACAGAACCTTCAACATCGCATCTTGACGATATCTTGGTACTCTTCTGGGGGATCTTGGAGTGCTCTCGAGGCTCTTTGGGGTTGTCCTGGGGCCCATTTGGGGCTTTCTCGGGGGCCTGTTCGGAGCCCTGGAGGCGGAGGAAGAGGAGGAGGAGGAGGAGGAGGAGGAGGAGGAGGAGAAGGAGGAGGAGGAGGAGGAGGAAGAGGAGGAGGAGGAGGAAGAGGAGGAGAAGAAGGAGCAGGCAGATGAGGGAGGAGGAGGGGAGGAGGAGGAGGCGGAGGAGGAGGAGAAGGAGGAGAAGGAGGAGGACAGGGAGGAGGAGGAGAAGGATAATGATGATGAGGAGGAGGAGGACAAAGAGGAGGATAAGGGAGGAGGGAGCAGGAGCAGGGAGGAAGGCGGAGGGAAGAGGGAAAAGGGAGGAGGGAGGAGGAGGAGGAGGAGGAGGAGGAGGGGGAGGGAGGAGGGGGAGGAGGAGGAGGAGGACGGGGAGGAGGAGGAGGAGGAGGAGGTGGAGGAGGAGGAGGAGGGGGAAGAGGAGGGAGGAGGAGGAGGAGGAGGAGGAGGAGGAGGATAAGGAGGAGGGAGGAGGAGGGAGGATGGAGGAGAAGGAGGAAGGAGGGAGGAGGAGAAGGACGAGGACGAGGAGGAGGGAGGAGGGAGGGAGGGAGGGAGGGAGGAGGTGGGAGGAGGAGGAGGAGCAGGAGGAGGAGAAGGAGGAGGGAGGAGGAGGGAGGAGGAGGAAGAGGAGCAGGAGGAGGAGGAGAGGAGGAGGAAAAGGAGGAGGAGGGAGAGAGGAGGAAAAGGGTGAGGAGCAGGAGGAGGAGGACGAGGAGGAGGAGGAGGAGGAGGAAAAAGATGAGGAGGAGGATAAGGGTGAAGAGGAGGAGGAGGAGGAGGAGCAGGAGGAGATGGAGGGCACGGCGGGGTGGACACGGGATGGAGCAGGGAAGGGGATGGAGTCGGGCACAACGATCCCAGGCGACCAGGGTCGGCGCCCGCCCCCCCTGGGCCGTCCGTCGCGGAGAGGGGCGGAGGAGGCCGCGCAGGCGCGCGCGCGGCGGCGCGCGGTCGCGGCCGGGTGCACGGAGGCGGGGGGCCACAGTCGGGCCGGTGAGGAGGAGGAGGAGGAGGAGGAGGAGGAGGAGGAGGCGGAGGAGAGGGGGAGGAGGAGGCAATGGGTGACCTTCCCCCGCGGGCTCCCGCGCAGCCAGCTTTCCGAGCTGCGCACGGCTGTGGCGACGAAGGGTCGACGGCCAGGTCGGGGGGGAAACGTGAGAGGCGGCGGGCCACCTCGGAAGGCTCAGTCGTCCCCCGGCCTTCCGAGAAGCTTTCTGAGCCTCCCCTGAGGACGCAGAAAACCTTTCTCAAGGCCGGAGGGCTTCTGAGAAGCCCCGCCGCCTTGTGAGAGGGCCTTCTCCTTCTCACTTCCCCCTCCTCCCCTGGCATCGGCTCTTCTTCCCCCGTCCTGCCCCTCTTCCTGTTTCTCGTGCCGTTCCCCCTGCTCGCCTCCCCTCCCCTCCTCCTCCCCCCCCTTCTGCTGCACTTGCAGGCTCACCGCCTTCGTGCAGAGCACGCACCAGTCCAGCGACGGCGACGCTGGTGCCCCCGACGCGGCCGTGTACGAGAGCAAGTCGGGCGGCATCGTTGATGTCCTGGAGGATCCGCGGCCGACGCCACAGCGGGGAGCAGCGTCGCGTCGCGAGCGGCAAAGCACGACGGACGTTTGTCCTCAGTCTTGGCCCCCGGAGGCTGCGTGGGCCATCAACGGCCCTTGGTAGGTCGACCCTGCCAGCTCAAGGGTACCCTTGTGTCCTGTGCCTCGCGACGCGTGCCTTCTCGCATTCCTATGGCAACGTGGCCCTCGGAAGGGTCTCGTGTCCTCTCGCGTGTCCTGCCCAATCCAGGCCGACTGTAGGGCACGTTGCCAGGGCCACCTGCCGTCCAGACGCGCGCGCGCTCGCGCCTTCCCGGCAGGCACGCTCACGGCTCATGCGGAGGCCCGGGGCCATTCGACTCGAGAGCAGGCAGTCGCCCGCCTTCCTTCCCTTCCCTTCCTCCGCCGTCTCCTCCCTCCTCTTCCCCTCCTCGTCTTCCCTCGGGGGTGGACAGACCTCCTACCCTGACACGTCGATTCGCGAATTGGCCGTCTTCGGTTTGCGAGAGGGCGTCGCGGCCGTCCTTTTTGCGGGTCCAGGTCCGTCGGTTTCGGTCCCAGGCCGTTTTCACCAAAGGGAGGTTTGCTAAAGGGAGGCTTGTCCACCGCCGAGTTTTCCTCGGGTCGCTCGCACGGAGTGGCCTTCTGGTGCTTCTTAGGGGGCCTTTCAGGGGCCCGTTGGCGGTCTCGTGGGTCCTCTTGGGGCGGAGGGCTCGAAATGCCAGCTCGAGCTCCCCGTCTTGGGCCGCTCTTGGGTCCGTCTCCTTCTTGAGGTCCTCTCGGGCCGTCTTTGGGGTCTCTTGGGCCGCCTGGGGCGCCGGGGATGGCCGCTCCGCGTGCGGATAGAAAATTGCGCGTGCGTCGGCTGCGCGCGCGCGGGGGCGGGCCACGTATGCTTGCCGCCCGGTTTCGTCGCTGCTCTCTCCATGGAGCCGCTGCTGGCCCGCGTTGCATCTGTCGATGTGCCCCCTCGTCACGGCATGGCCGTGTGGACAGTCTCCTGTAACATGTGCAATTCAGTTTCTCAGTTGCCGCTGGGGTGCAGCTTTTTCCCTTGCCCATCGAATCTCGTCCGGACGTTCCAGCACGCAGTTCCACGTTCAACGTGCTTGATTTGGGGTCTTTTGAGCTGAGAAGATTCTGAGCAATCCTTAGCTTGTCTGTCTGCTCCCTCGGTTCACGTTCCCTTTTTCCTTTTCTTTTTCTGCTCGCCACCCGTTGTGCATGGCGCCGATACGTCTACATGGTGGGTTCGTATCGTTCGAACTGCCCGCGCTTCCGCCCCGTTCTGCTACCCGTTTCCTGCCCGAGCCTAGGGCCATCGATCTTATTTGGGGCGTCTTCACGCGATAGTGCCTCGCCAGTGTGCGGAGTCAAACCGGCGTACAGGTTCAGTTCGGTTGGAAGGTAGCACATTATTGGGACGTGGGATATAATCAAATGCTAACTCCCTGGCGGAGGGCCCGAAACCGACACGCAGCGAGTGCCAGAGCAGACACGACCGGCGGAGGGACCGACCGAAGAGAACCGAGGCCCGGAAACTGCGCGGGGAGGCTTGGCAGCTTGCCTCCAAAAGGGGTGCGGCAGCTGATCGGGAGCAGGGCGGGGGTGAGGCTCATGCTCCGCGTGCGCTTCGGCGCACGGGGAGCACGATGTCTGCGGTTTGGGCGCCTGCTCCTCGTGCGCCTCGGCTTGTAAGTCGGGCGTGTCCCTCTACAGGAGGAAGATTCAGCGATAGTCAGAAAAAAGTCGGGGGACGATTTCTCCATTCATGTTTGACTATTTGGGGGTATTTTTTTGACAATTTCTGATTCTTCGTCCAAGATCGGCCTGCAGGGGGACATGCCCGACCTGAGCCTCAGCGGTGGCTCCCGCGCTCCCTGTGCCAGGAGGCCGAGCCAGGCTGCACCGGCAGAGGGAGGCGAAGCCACCGCAAACCCCTCGGCCCTTCTCCCCCCCCCCGCTTGCGCCCACGAGTGATGAACATGTCCGTATCCGCGCCCTCGCGGTCTGGAGTCCAGGGCCCGGAGATCCGACGTTCCCCAAGAATTGGAGCGGCGGGAGTTTGGCAGCTCTTGGCCTCCAGGGGCCGGGGCCCGCGCATGGAAGACACTGGAGCAGCAGGATGTTTGGGGGCGCGATCCCGAGGATGCGCGGTCGCACGGGCGTCCGTTCCGCGCGGGACGTCCGCGAAAAAGCGCGCCGCATCCGCGGGGTCGCGGCCCCGGGGCCCGGCCCGCGGGGCCGCGGAGCTGCGGAGGTGCATTTCGCACACGCCTCGCACCGGCGCACGCCTCTTTTCGCGCTGTGTTCCAGGCGGGAAGGGCGAGGCTCCCTCGCGCTGACCTCTCGGATTTCTCGAAGCTCCTCATGTCCGCCGCGTGGGGCGGGGGTGCGCCCAGCTCAACTCACGTCGTCGTCGTCCTCCTCCTCCTCCTCCTCCTCCTCCTGTAAAGCGACTTTGGCGCTCTCACATGCCCCGCAGGAGGCGCAGAAGTGCCAGAGCAGCGGCTCCCCTCCGGACCTCCCCGAGCGCCCCGCCTCGCCACACAGCTGCCTCCCCTGCGAGAGGACCTGCTGGACAAGGCGCAGACCCAGCTGGCGGACGCCCGCTCCAAAGAGGCCAAGGCCCAGCACGCCTTCGAGATGCGCGCCGCTCAGCTCGCCAGGCTGGCCGCGGAGCCTCAGACACGCCTGGCGCCCGCCATCGGCCGGCCTCGGCGTTCGGGTCGCCCGTGCACCTTGCAGTCAAGACGCCGAAGTGATCGAAGAAGAACAGACGGCGGATAAGCATAAGCTCTGGGGCGGCCAAGAGGGGGTGATGATTGGGGGGGGTCTCATGGGGTGGAGGCCATGGTAGCTCCCTCCTATTCCAGTGCGTCCCCCTGCCCCCTCACCCCCCTCGTCCACGCACATGCCTCGCGCCATGACTTGCGACCCCGCTCTTGAACGCCCCCCCTCTTTGGACGCCCCCGATAAACTCTCAGAGCTCCGCGCGTACTTCCTGGATTTGCGCCGAGCCCCCCCGTGGCGTTGCCTCGGGCGCCGCCCCTGGCGCGCTCCGCGCGCCACGGAGGCGGGTTCACGGCCTATCCAATAGTTACAACACTCGCGCGGAGCTCAGAAAACGCATGCGTTTGTTTTGACACGGTGGCCTCAGGACGGGCTTTGGCCTTCGGGCCGCTCCTCGGATCTGCGGTCGGCGTCGGAGGGTGGTGTGCGATGCAGCTTGTGGAGGACGAACAATGGAGAGGAAGCATGCTGCCAAATAATTTCCAGATGTCTAAAAACTGTTTCAAATATTGTTCAAACATGTAAAATCATGATTGCAACATTGTTAGAACAGTTTCCGACATGTCAAGAACATGTTTAGCTCAAGGGTAGGACTGTTAGGGTGTCCATTGTCGTGGCATCCACAAGATGTAGCGCGGCCGGCCCGCAAGTTGCACGCTGTGCCCCACCATAGGGACAGCGTGCACCGAAGAGGCCCTGGCAGGGGTATGGCGTGCGCAGACGGGGCCCTCGTGGGGTATCGTCTCACAGGGAGGGCCCGCTCTTTGCGGACATCGATCCCGCACGCTGTTCTTCTAAACGCCAACCATGGCGGGAAACCTATTCGTGGCCAAGTCTCGGCATGGTCAGGAAAGCCGTTTCGTTCATGATTAATCTTGCCTTAGGGCAACACGATGACTGTATCACGATGGAGTCGCCAGGAAGGAAATGGCTCCAGAGGGGGACGGGTCTTGAGTTTTATTCGCCGCTTTCGGGCAGTCGGGGCCCTACTTTGGCCCCAGGACAGCCGAAGGGAGAGGAATAATAGGGCCCTGGGGAAGGCGCTAGGGTCAAGGACCCGTTTCCCTCAGGACCAATTTCTTTTGTGAAGCGGAAAAACGCTCTCAGACAGTGAGTGGGATGGTCTTGTTTCTCGGTTCCGTTTCATTTGCAGGTTGGAGTTTCAGTATGAGCCAGACGAGTTGAATAGCCCAACCATGCTAATGAACAGAAGTGGGGGATGTGACGACGGGGGGTGTAAGCGTAGTGTGGCATGGCACGAATTCCTGACGCTTCGCGTGTCCCCACCAGCTGGCGACTGCCCATCGCTTACCACGTCTGGGCACTCAGACGGCATGTTGGACACGCAGCCCACAGCTATCGTCCTCACGCTCCGTTTGGATTTTGCCACTCGGCACACCTTGAATTCACCAGCATTTTGCCGTGTTGCAAGTGCTCGAGCACACTGGACGCCCTCAGCTTGCCGCTCCCCCCGCGCAGTCAGCCGCTGCTGGATGAGTGGGCCGGCCGGCTCGCGGCGCGTTTAGCTGCTAATTAGGCCGCTGTCGTGACCCATAGCGCTTCTGACTCCGCTAGCGCCTTCGCTAGCGGACGCGACCGAAAAAAGTATCCCCACCAGCCCATCCAAACACGATCAGGGGTTTTCTTGAGGTCTCTTAGAGGCTATCTTGAGCCATGCTCGGCCAGAGGCTGTCGCAGGCTATCCTGAGAAATCCTCAGCTATCTTGGATCATCCTGAGGCTGCAGTGACGCCCCTAGAAGACCTGTCGGAGGCTATATTGAGCCATGCTCTACCTCCTGGGACCATCTTGGTTGTAGAAGGAGGAGAAGTAGGAGGAAGAAGAGGAGGAGGAGGAGTAGGAGGAGGAGTAGAGGAGGAATAAGAGGAGAAATAGGAGGAGGGGGAGGAGGAGGAAACATAGAGAAGGAGGAGGAGGGGAAAGAAGAGGAGGAGGATGAGGAGGAGGGAGAGGAGGAGAGGAGGAGGAGGAGGAGGAGGACGAGGAGGAGGACGAGGAGGAGGAGGAGGACGAGGAGGAGGAGGAGGACGAGGAGGAGGAGGAGGAGGACTAGGAGGAGGAGAAGGAGGAGGAGTGCGGCACGAGGAAGATGAGGAGGAGGATGAGGAGGAGGAGGGAGGATGCAGGAAAGAAGGCGGGACGGGGCGGACGATGACAAGGAGGATAATAAGTCGGGCTTCGGAGATATGTTGTTGTGAGAGATGTTTGAAGGCCGATTGAGGCCATCTTAGGGGCGTTCTTGGGGTCCCCGTGGAGCCTCTTCGGGCACTCGTGGGGCCCTCTTAGGGCTCATGTTGTGGGTCTTGGGGCGCTTTTGTGGCTCATTGGAGCGGTCTGAGAGGCTTTTTGAGTCCCATGGCTCAAACATAGAGGGGTCTTCAATTCAGCCCCCCCACCCTCGGGAGACTCAAACATGGCTTCTTGGGGCCATCTTGCGCCGCTCTTGTAGCGCTCTTGGGGTCCTCTTGGGCCCCTCTTGGGGCTCTCTTGTGCTGTCTTGGGGCCATCTTGAGGCCTCAAAAGCCCATCAGACGCGAAAAAGCCAGAAGGCAAAACACATGGGGTTCCCCAGGCGTTTGAAGGACTTTGACCTCTTGGAGGGTGCCTCGGAAGGCTCGAAGGGCACTTGACATCGTTTTGGTGTTGCCTTTGGAGCCTCTTAGGGGTATGTCGATGGTTATATTGAGCCATATTCGGCTATCTTGGGTCATCTTGGGAGCCGTCTTGGGCTCCCTGAGGCCCCCTCGGAGCCATCTTGAACGCTCTAGCGTCTCGCGCCCTCCCCCCCCCTCCCAGGCCCAGGGGAGGGGTAGGAGGGGGAGAAGGGGTCATGGAAGATGTGAAGCACAACTCGTTAAACCACCCACGCCCCGAGGGCTGGTGGGATTAATCATCGAGGCTTCGCGTTTCCTCATTAGTTCATCCAGAAATGATGTTTTGACGAGTTGTCGTTAAAAGGGTAGCGGGGGGAGCGTAAGTGAGGCCAAGAGTGGGTGACACCAGTCAAACAGATGATGGCAGTCCCAGCTGGCCTCCACAATGGTCACCTTGAAACTCTTGGGGCCTATTGAAGGCCTATTGGAGCCTCCTTGGGGCCCTCTTTGGATCCCTTGGGGCACTCTTTGGGACCTTCCTGGAGCCCAGCCGAAGCGAACGGGCGAGCAGGTATCTAACAGTAAGCACTTGTTCATGGATCCTCTGTCCTTGGATGGCCTTGCGAGGGCGTTGTTGAGAGGAGTCGTGACTACCTCGAGCCGACTGGGAGACGTTTCACGGCTTTTTGGAACTATGCTGAAGGCACCTTCAGCCATCCGAGACCATGTTGAGCCATCTCGGAGGCTATCCCCATCTTGGACCATCTTCGACGCTCCAGCCCCTTGATCCGCTAAACCACCTACGTCCGGAGGGCTGTTTGGGATCATGGGCAGGAACAGCATGGGTAGTGGGAGGAGGCAGAGGAGCAGCAGCAGCAGCAGGAAGCGCGAAGCAGGCGCAGGAAGCAGAAGAGCCGTGCACTGGACGTCCAGAAATGTTGGACAGTGAGTCGAGAGCTGCGTTTCGGAGTGTGTGGCGTTCGAGAGGGGCCCCACGCTGCATCTTGCGGGTTCCATTCGAGTGTTTGGGGTTGCGGCGGTTCCTGACCCACCTTGGGACTCTGCCACTCTCCTCGCTCCCGTCACGGTGGCCTGGATGGAGCCTTCACTGCCTGCTCTCCCCCCCCTTCCCGTTCAGCAGCGGCCTGGAACGTGCTCGTCTGTGGAGGAAGCCGAGCACGGGAGGTGAGAAAACGCTCGTGACAGAACGCGAAGGCAGGTGTCATTCTTTTTCTCCTGCTCGGCCACGCGCCGGGAAGGTCCGAGCGGCCTGAGTGTGGGGGGGGAGGGTTGCCGCCTGCCTCGTTCTGCGGCCGGGCGAGGCCGCTCGTTCTGGGCCTCCCTCTCCGGCGTGGCGGGTTCTCATTCCCCAGCGTTGCGGGCGGCCCGTGGTGGTCTCGCGCCGTCCGCGCCCCCGCCCCCCCACCCCATGTGCTGAGTGTCGTTGACGCCAGCGTTGTCGCCGAAGCCGCCGCCGCCGCTGTCATCGTTCTCCTTCTTCTTCTTCTTCTTCTTCTTCTTCTTCTTCTTTTTCTTATTCTCCTTCTTCTTCTCCTTCTTCTTCTTCTTGTTATTCTTATTATTATTATTATTCTCCTCCTCCTCGAAGCTTCTTGCGCCATTTTTGGCGCGGGGTGCAGGGCGGTCCCTGGCTGTTCGCTCCTTTTCTTGGTTTCCTCCCTAGGGCACAGTGGTGCTGGCACTGTTGGGAGTTAGCCAGGGAAAGAACGCCGGAGGTCAGGTCCCAGCTTGTGCATGCGTTTCTTCTTTCGCACGTGTGCCTTTTGTTGGCCAGTTGGTCAGGGCAGGTTGATTTCCCAGCTTCTCGCTTGCCCGGTGAGGCCCAAGGAGGCAGCTTTGCTGCGCAGAGGTTCGAGTTTTGTGTTTCCCCGCCCGTGCACGTTGAGCGCTACGTTATGTCCTGCCGTTTTGGGCCTGCGACATTCTTCTCCTCATCCTCCCCCCTTCTTCTTCCTCTTTTCCTCCTCTTCTTCCTCGTCTTCCTCTTCTTCCTTCTCCTCTTCCTCCTCCCCCTCCTCCTCCTCCTCCTCCTCCTCCTCCTCCTCCTCCTATGTGCCGCTCAGGGTCCCTAGTGCTGCATACACATCCCTACAGGTGGGAGGTGGGTTTGTGCACCCCAAACATTCGCTTCTTGAGATGAATGGTCAGCCGTGGTGCTCGAAGTTTGCGGGCTTGGGGAGTTACACATCTACAGGAGGTAGCAAGCTCTACCAGCTCCCAACCCCTTGTCCAGGTGGTGTG